GCGCCTCCTGCTGACAGCTCAGTTCCTCTGCAGTGTAAACAAGTATTAAACAGTCCCGCCTCATCATCTGGATAAACTCAGGCTAACATGGATGTTAGCATTGGTTCTAAAAGCAGAGTGGAGGTCTAAAACACATCGTCTGCCCTCCCTCAGATCCACAGAACCTGCTGACTCACCTGGCAGCTGAACGGTTGCAGCCAAACATTTAAAGGTTTATGAGCAGCTCACCGAGACGGGTTGGGTAGGTATGAAATGTTTATTCAAAATGATGAGAGGACAGATTACAGCTAAAAAACATGATTTGCATCCTGCTAACACCGCGTCGGTCCGTCAGGAACCGCGTCGGTCCATAATGTCCTCCTTTACTTTGAAGGATCCGATTGAGTTCATTTCTCTTCATGATAAAACAAAGAATCACTTTGGCCTCTGGACTAAATGGTCTATTGCACTGAGATATTTACACAGCTGGAAGCTTCATCATCATCATCATTGTGAGCCGCTAGCAGAACGTCAGACTGTCTTGTAAACTGGACCTTTGGACAGGAACCAGAACCTGTCAGAAGCAGCTGATTGTCTAAGGCACTGAGTGACTTCACCATGAAACCAGAGTCAGGACCCTACAGAACCAGCGGTCCAAAGTTCAGACCTCTAGAACTGGCGCCGATTAGTTCAGATCAGTGGAACCAACGGTCAGGAGTTCATATCAACAGAACTGGCAGTCAGAACTTCAGACCGTGGACTCTGGAGTATAACCGTTTCAGACTCAAAGATATAAACATGACTAAGTTCTTTTGGACCAGAGCCTGAGCCGAGCCAAGCCCTCAACAGAACCACTTCTGGCCCTCCATAGCCAGTCAGGTACCATGAAGACCAGCTCATCTTGGTGCAGCGGGGTCCATGTAGTACACGTTGACCAGGTGGCGGTTCAGGTGGCGCCGGTACTGCGTCTCCAGGGGGAACGTGCGGTCGCAGAAGATGCACGTGTGGCTCTTGAGTTCGGTGGGTGTGGGGATCTCCTCGGTGGGCGTCTCCGGATCGTTGGCCAGCTTTCCTGGAGCAGCACCGGTACCGTTGAGGCCAGAGTCATCACTGCCCTCTGAGGCACTGTCGCTGATGTCACTTCCTCCCTCGTGGCTGCTGTGGATCCCCTCATCGTCCTCGGCGTCGGCCGGTCTGCCACGCTGGCCAGGAAGGAGTAGGCGAGGCGGCACCGACGGTTTGATGAAGGTGGGATGGGAACCTTCTGTCTTCTCTGATGGTCTGCTGGGAGGAGCATCAGGTTCTGGTTGGGTCAACCCATCTGTGGAGAAAGCTATTTCACCAGAACCAGTTGGCTGAACAGAACCTTTCATAGCCTCTAAAGATGGACTGGTTTCAGAGATCGGTTCATCTGGTTTTGGACCGACTGCCAAGGTCTTCCTGGTGGAGGTCCTGGTCTTTTTCTGGTTGGATGGTGCCTCTCTGCTAGCCTTTTCAGTCGGACTGGACTCGGTACTATCCGAAGATGTTTTGGACAGCAACTTCTTGGCAGCAGGAGCTTTCAGGCACTTTTTCTTGGAGGACTTTTGGGATAGATCCAGAATCTGTCCTGCTTTCCTTTTAGTGGGCTTTTCTTTGACCCACTTTCCTTTCTGGCTCTTCTCAGGACTGATGGGTTTCTGTGTCTCAGCTTGTTCTGGAGTCTTTAAGGTTCCAGACTTTCTGGTTTTGCTGAGGCTTTTCTTGCTCTCCTTATAGGAGCTCACCTTCAAGTCTTTGTCTTTACATATCTGCTGGTCAGAACTCTTTGGATCAGACTGGTCTTCCTGGGAAGCGGGTCCCACCGGTTGTTTTTCCTGGGATGCAGGTTCTTCTGGTTGGTCCTGGGAAACTGGTTTCCCAGTGGGAACTTTCCTCACTCGTCTCTTCACTTTGACATCAGTATTCCCAGCAGCAGTCTGGACTTCTTTACCGTCCCTGTTCTCCACAGGATTCTCCTTGACCTTCTTCTGCCTTGTTGAGACTTTCTTTTCTGCTTCCTTTGCCTTTACGGGTCTCTCCTTCTCAGACAAGGAGTTGCGTTTCTTTGCAGCCTTGTCGGGAATCTCGCTTAGCTGTGGCGGTTTGATGGTGGGTCCGCTGCTACTCCTGATGGACAGATTGATGGGGCTCGAGTCATCTTCCTCGTCCACATCGTCTTCCATGGCGGGGGAGTCATCCAGCGTGGCTGCTTTTAACTCAGACTTGTCGTCTGGACCGTCCGGACCGGGTTTCTTCACTCGCAGCTTGACTTTGGACACATCCAGGTCCACGTTGCAGCCAGAGTGCCGGGACTTGATGTGGTACTGCAGGTTGCACTTCTTGGAAGCGGCGTACTTGCAGAGCGGGCAGAGGAACTGCCGTGGGTTCAGGTGCAGCTCCACATGCTTCTTAAAGTTGCTGCGGTCGGCCGTCTTGTACTCGCAGTAGGGGCAGGACAGAGGCTTGGGACCGTTGTGGACCTGGCGGGCATGACGGGTCACCTCGTGCTGATTGGCTGCCAGGTAGCTGCAGCTCTCACACTTGAAGGGACGTTCACCTGCAGAGGGGAGGATACGTTAGAGAGCCAAAGCTGGGGGTCCATAGAGGAGTTCATGCAGCAGGTCAGGCTGGGTCTAACAGATCCGTATCACACTGGCTCTGTTTACCAACCGGGTTCTGATCAGCCCAGACTGGACTCTGGTGCAGAACTTCCCCTGGACATCCTGCAGAGATCCATCACACTCACTCCCTGCTCTTAGATCTTTCTAACCTACAGAGAACTGAAACAGGTTCACTCATGCAGAAGTTCATGTTCAGAACAGAACAACCCTGAACCAACTGAGGACTTTGCATTGACTTTCATTCATTGTAGTTACTGCATTTATGCCTAACCCATACATTTTCCTTAAAGATCACTAGTCTATTGCTAACCAAACGCAACTGGCACCAGACCTCTACACTACCTAGCAGAGCTCAGGTTCACACTTTCTACAATGACCTCAGTTTGAGGGTAAAATGGTGAAACTGGTCCTCTGTATGTAGCATAAACAAGTGTGTACACACACACAAACACACACACAACCACACACACACGCAAACACACACACACACAGATCAGATTAGTTACCGTGTTAATCCATCAGGGCAGCTTCAGTGAGAACAAACAAATCAACAGTTAGTAGCAGAAAGACCATCAAGCCCAACGTCGTCCTGAACAGCTCCAGACTGGTTCTACTGGTGTTCCTAGATGTTTCTGTTTCAGCTTCTCATCTAAAACCAGGGGTCTCCAAACAGCGACTTACTGCCAGAAGTCTTAAACTGGCTGTTCATAAACTCCTGGTACCAGTCAACCCACTGGCCAGTACTGGCTGCTGTTTGGGGACCGCCATAAGGGGGATCCAACGTTTGGTTGTAACATTAGACTTTTCTTGAGAAACATTTATTTCAGAAGTAAATCCTACAGTAAAAAACTGTAGGATGTTGAGTTTTTGTAAATTAAACATCACACAGCCAAGGCAAATTGCTTGAGCTCCTGGCAATGACTTTCCTCATGCTAAAGCTGTTAGCTCTAGTTAATATAGTAAGCAGCAATTCACAAGCCGATGATGTCAGCTTGTTTCAGCAAATGTCTCGATTAGCTTTGAGGCAGTTTGTCTCCATCCAAATGTTTAGAGGGCTGCCCTCACCAGCCTCCAACAGCTTATAGAACTGCCTCTAGCAGAACCTACTCGAATTATCGGCCCAGAATGCACTGCATAGGCGGAAAAATTGGGGCCTCAGTCGGTGAAAAATATAGTAAATATATACAACATATTCGTATCACAAACTTCTTTTGGGTAAATAGAACAATTGCACCATATTTAAACCAACATGTTCAACTATGGATCCGTTTAAAGCCCTTTGGACACAGAGTGAGGAGTTCTGGGCCTGGAGAGAAGGTGGAGCTAAATGTCTTCAACCGAAGGACACGACCAGAAGGTCTACTTGTTAAAACTGAAACATGACAGGGGTCCTCTCTACTCAAACAGGACTGGTTCAGGACCCAATCAGCACCTGTCCCCTTCTGCCCCAAACTCACCTGAGTGAGTCCTCATGTGGCGGGTCAGGTGAGTCTTCTGGGAGCTCGAGTAGTCGCAGTAAAGACACTGGAATGGACGCACACCTGTTCACCAGAGAGACACAGCCTTCACATGACCCACCTGAGACAGGGACAAGATCGGAACAGACCAGGGACAGGACGGTACCAGTGTGGGTCCGAATGTGCTGGATGTAGTTGCTCTTGCGGTCAGAGAAGTAGGAACACTGGCTGCAGGTGTGCAGTTTGCTGGGGAAGTGATTCCTCAGGTGCTTCCTCCAGTGGTACTGGCTGACCGTAGTGTAGGCGCACAGCGTGCACTTAAACACCCTGCAGACACACAGGTTCACGCTCAGCTGACTCAGACAAACACCCACAGGTGTGACCTTCAGAGCAGGTTTGGTGCTCCTACCTGTGGTCGTTGCCCTCCTTGCTGTGGTGCTTCAGGTGAGCGATGTAGTGGTCGTAGCGGTTGGTGTTGTAGCCGCAGCGCTCGCACCTGATCAGCCCTTTGGTGTCCACGCCGGCGGCCGTGTCCTCGCTGCTGGGCTCCTCCTCTCTGCCGTGCTCCGCCTCCCTGCCTGGCAAAGCCTCCCGTGACTCCGCCTCCTTGGCTTTGCTCTTGCTCCGCCCCTCCACCTGGTGCACCACCATCATCTTGTTGATGCTGTGCGTGCTCAGGTGCTCTACGAACTCCTGCTCGTTCTGGCCCTGGAAGTGGCACGGCTTGCAGCAGAACGGCTTCTTCTTCTGGGCGCCATCCATCACCCCTTTGGCCCCAGGTTGGGGTGAAACGGTGGAAGGGCGGGGCTTAAAGGAGGGGGGCTGTTTCTCAGTGGAGGGGTTCTCCTCATCCTCTCTGCTGCCACTGATGGCGACGGTCTGGGCGGCCGGGTTCGGGGACTCTGGGTACTCCACGATGCACACCTCGCGGTGGTTCTGGTTGTCGTAGCTGTACCTGCACACAAACCAGGTGAGTTAGAGACAGGTAATGTGCCAGGAGCAGGAAGTGGCCCTCACTGACTCCTGACCTGATGACGCCCTCGTCTTCACTGTCAGAGTAGCCACATCCCACCGTCTTCAGCTCCATCATCTCCTTCTCGTCGGCCATGCTGCCGCCGTCGCCGCCCTCCGCCGCCGTCACCGCCGCCACGTTAGCCAGCATCACCAGCTGAGGGGCGGGCAGCGTGTCCCGGGGCAGATCGCTGAGGCCCGCCCCGTCCTCCACCAGAGAGACGCCCACAGGAAACATCCCAGCTGAGAACATGGTCTGAGTCGCCATGACGACGGGGCTCCACCCACAGGAAGCTGCAGAAACCAAACGGTGAGGGTCGATCAGCAGAACTCTACGGTTCTGAAGGCTCACCGGGTTTCAGCGCCAAGGCTGGAGGAAACGGTGAGACATTTAGAAACGTTCAGAGCTTCTGTCACAACCAGGAGAGCTGCTCCACTCAGGAAACGTCCTTTTGGATGATGTGACGGTCAAACGACAAAACTGTCCCAGAAATTATTGAGATAAACGACAATATTGTCATTTTGAGACAATTTTCAACTAATATATAATTAAAGTATTTCCTCACAAAAGTCAATAAAAACAATTTCTAAAGAGCTCTTACAGCTGTGCTATGTAACTACTACAAAATATTTTTTTACATATTGGTTGACACTATAATATGAGACAGTTTGTGAAAAAACTTCTCCCAGTACAAGCAATGAGAGCCAGGAGGCGGGGCTTAGCGCTGTCAATCAGCCTGTATGCACACCACTCATCCCTCTTCCCATGCTCTCTGTGAACGTGAATACTAAACTTAGTTAGTTTAGCTTCTATTGATGTAGCAGCAGGTACATGAGATTGACAGGCAGCACTAAGCCCCTCCTCCTGGCTCCGATTTTTGGTGCATTTCTTCAGACATAGCAGCTCAGGAAGGAGGAGGTCCATCTTTTCACAGATTATCTGTCCCATAGCAAACTGTAACAACATGGTGATAGTAATAATAATAATATCTAAAAAGCAATTTTTAATATAAAAGTTACATACTGCAGCCTTAACACTGCAACTGGAAGACATTTTAAATATTCAGAAGATATTTAAAACAATAAATAAAGTTGAAATAAAACCTGGAAACAATCAAAAACAGTAAATAAAATAGATTATGAAGTTTCTCTAAACAAAACATATTATTCATTGGTTTCAGACCGAAAACACTAGTTATTAAAAAGTAAAGGCAGTGACCCTCTGCTCTAAGGCCGTCGGCCATTTTGAAGCAGCACCACAGTCAGCGCCTCAGAAAACTTCAGGGGTTACGGGGAAAACTTCTGTTTAATCCGCAGGAAGTTCTGGTACGACGAGCTAAAGTTTGGACCTGCAAAACCACATCCGATATAATTTATTTTAATCTTACAAACATCAAAACACAAACAGAACTTTTCATCCGGTTCTGAAGTCGGTGTCTGATTCCTAGCTGAAGTAAAGGACTGTTCCACTGTTTTTAGAGAAATTGGACCACACAGAATAAGTTCTGATTCATATTCAGGAACGATTCTGATCGGAGTTCCTACCATGACCTTTAACCTTCATTCTAAGGTTACGCTAAGATCATAAGAAGGTGACATCAGCTCCTTTTGGGGTGAACTTCTCAGATTGAAGTTCTGGAAACCGGGCAACCCGGACCGGAATGAAAGGTTCCGAAAGTTTTAAATATAAATTTTTTAAACAATTTGTCATAAAAGCAATTTATTTTTATTCTACTTCGCCGTTCCAACCAAATGAGATCAGAACCAGTTTTAAACCCCCACGAGGCCAACTGGACTGTATCAGCACACAAACTTTAAAGGTTCTGCAGACAATGATCCGGAAAACTCGGACTTTTATGTAATTAAAAAGTTTTTTCTTTCGGAGCCACATTGTGGACCTGGTTCTGATTTAAGGCGGTCCATGTTGAGCTGCTACGATTCACAAGCTAACTTCTGGTCACACACTTTCCCTGAGTTCGGGACCCAGAACCGAACTCCCCCCAGGTTCTGATCCAATTGTTTTAGAGTTGTGGAGTCGCAGTCCGAGTGTGGTTCCGAGGCTCGGAGCCCGTCCCGGACCTGGCCTGGGACGGAGTGTTAGCCATGGTCCTGATCAGCCCCCGGACAGCGCCTCTGTGCTCCACCTCACCGCCTCCATTTTCCCCGAACTGCTCTAACTTTCTGCGGCTGTAAACCCGCACAGCAACGGAACCGAACCGCTCCCTGGCCCGCAAGCCCTCCGACACACTCCCTGCTCCTCACCTCCGAACTTCCAAAGACTTTCCTGGAGACTTTCCTGTTCTGGGAAGGTTTACCTTCGACGGACAGCGCTGTTAGAAAACTAGGTAGAAGTTTCCGCACATTCCTCTACAGTGACGTAGGGTCCTGACGTCAACGCGTAGCTCCGCAAGTTTGTAGTTTTTCTGTGAAAATGTGCGAGTTACAGAACAAGATGGAGGAAGAGACGTCAGAGTGACTGAGAGTACCTCAACTCAGAGGTTCTGGTTCTGTTCAGGTTAAAAAGCTCAGAACCGTGAATATGATTAAACCTGACCTGGAAAAGGTTTTGGATGGGTTCTGGTTGAGGTTCAGAACAGGTATGGAACAATTTCACTACAATCTCTTTTTATTTATTAAAACAGATGAAAAACTTAGGATGAAGGATGAACAACTTCAGAACCAGTGAGTGAAAAACTGAGTTCAACTCCTGATCCATTAGCCAGTAGAACCTCCTTCAGTTTCTGTCTGACACCATCAGTCACTCACTGGGACTTCTGCTCATTCTTCTGAAAAGCTCATCAGGACTTTGACTAGACCATTCTGCTATAGATCTGTTGCTGGGTTCAGGATCGTGGTTCTGTTGATGACCTAGGTTGCCCCTAGCTTCAACTGATGGAAAGATGAACAGTTTGGATATCAGAGGAGATCCTGGTCCACATCAAGCCCATATCACCAGCCCTCCACCACCGTGCTTGGAAGCTGTATGGAATGAACAGTCTCTCCAGAGCCCCATAGCTCCTGCATCACTGCTGATCCTCCCACCCTGATGAGGACCAGAGTCCTCCAGACCAGGAGAAGCTGGTTCCGAACCGGACCCAGCAGAACCAGAACCAGAAGGTGGTACTTTCTTCGTTATTATGTGAATCTGATGTTGGCGGTGAGCTATTGTAAAGCACTTTACATTGGAGGTACTTCCTGCAGGTGTTCTATAGAAAGTGAGCTGATGACGTCATGCCAGTGCTGCCTGGCGTCATCATGCAGCACTGATGTACTTCTGTCAGAACTATCTGACCTGATAATTTGCTCTTGCTGATAATCACTGATCTGTTAACTAACTATGGGTTCATGTTGACACGCTGCAGGTTGAATGACCCGTACAGGCCACGCCCCTTCTGGAGCTGTTAGCGCAGACTCTCACCGGAAGTGGCTTCTGATTCTTTTCAAAATAACATTATTTTTTTCAAATTAATCCCAGAGAGGAATCAAAACTCATCCAACGCTTTTTCTAAATGCTGATGGCATTGGACAGGATCTCCTGTAGAGGCCAGTATTACAGCCACACTGGAAACGCTTCTGACTGAAGACACAAATGAAGAGGATGATCAGGCTTTTTTGTAATAAAAAACATTTAGTGTTTTTCTGTTCATCTTTTGTATTTAGAGTAGTGTTTCTCCACCTGGTCCTCAGCCCCCCTGCTCTGCATGTTTTAGATGAGCCTCTGTTCCAGAACAGTTGATCCAAATGATTGCATGACCATCAAGTGCTGCAGAAGCCTGTTAATCACTCAGAGATACGATTCAGGTGTGTGGCAGAAGGGAACCACCTAATACATGCAGAACAGGGGGGCGGTGAGGACCAGGGTTGAGAAACACTGATTTAGAACAACAGCAGATATAAACCTTGATCTAGTTTCATCTTTGGTTTTAATTTAGCCCACTTTGATTTATTTTTGGTGGATTTGCTTTGGTGGTTTTTTGTATAGAAACACAACCTTTGAGTTTTATTGAATCATTTGATAACATTTGGTTGAAGTTTTTGCAGCGATTTGTTCGTCTGTTTAACATTTGACTTTTCTGTCCTTTCCTTTGGTCCAATTTTTATTTTGAAAAGCAGACCGGAAGTGTGAAGCATGATTTCGTCATCCGGATCCTTGGAGTCGTCACACGGAGTCCAGTAAAGTTTATCTCGGTTGTTCCTGTCCACTCTCAGCGTTTTGGACCGTGTTCGGGCCGGAATTCGGTACCATTTCTGGGTCTCTCAGACTGTTGGTGTCCGTGACGTTTTCAACAGAACTTTGGACCGAAGCCTGGCGGTTTCTGAACCGTTTTTCCGACCTTTGGACACGAACCGCAGGAAGCTAACAGCTAGCTGGGCTCCAAACTTTCATCGACTTTCTGCTCAAGTTCTGGTTCTGGGTTCTTCCTGGGTTTCTGTCCGAACTCTGCTGGAAAACCTGGAGTTGTGTCCCAGATAGAGGAAGATGGAATGTGAGAGCAGATAGCGGCGAAGCAGAACCCTTTCTGGACCCGGAACCGAGCCGTCAAGATGGCCACAGATTTCAGCCTGATACACCGAACCTGCAAGTTGGTGGTTCTGCTCTGCTTCCTCCACATCTCCGTCACCGTCTTCTTCTACGTCCGAACCCTGGACATCCGGTTCTCCTTCGTCCAGAACCAGCAGTCCCACTCCAATCTGACCCGGCTCAGACACGGCTTGGTCCCGGCCAGCAGCTCCGGAACCGAACCGAAAGAGACCGCGACCCGGAGGCGGCAGAAGGTGGAGCGGCAGCCGACCGAACCGGGTCAGAACACGACAGAGGAACCGGTGAAGCTGCTGCAGAAATGTCCAGAAACATCCCCTCTGCTGGGTGAGTCCGGTTCGGCCTGGGTTTAGAAGCCCATCTGGACCGGAACCACATGGATAGTATCAGATGGTTCCCGGTCCACATGGTTTGGTACCAAAAATTTGCTATTGCTGTCAGGTTGAGAAATGATCCAACAAGTCCAAGAACCAGAACCGAATGTTCTGAGACGCATCAGAACTGTTTCTGGTCCGGGGCGGGTCGTGGATCCATCCATATGTATCAATAACATCCACTTGGATGATGATATATGATCAATAAGTGATCAATAATCATCAGAGACCCGCCTCCAGGTTCTGAAGTGATGAAGTTTGGGTCCGTAGAGGAACCAGAACCAGAACTCAAAGCAGGTTCTGGTTCTGTGTGGGGGTCCAGGTGGAAGTGTACTCACCCGTTGTACCTGTTCGGCGAGTGAGGAGGTCATGTGACCTCCAGGAGGAACTCTCCCAGGTGAGCTGAATGTTTCCATTCCTCACCAGGTGAGCTGGGGGTTCCGTCTCCTAGGCAACAGTGCGGCTCAGGTGATTGGTCCAGATGGAGTTCTGCCAGGTTCCAGTAAAGAACCTGAAGAGGCTGATGATGTCGGAGCTTAATGGGGTCTGATGGGCCTGAAGTTCTGCTGGAGCTTCAGTCACATCTGCTGGGTTGCCATGGAAACCGGGAGAGACCTGGAGCTTTGTGGAACCAGAACCTTAAGAACTCTACAGAGCAGCAGGCGGGCCTGAAGCAGCCCAGCTGCTGGTTCTGCTAGAGATCAGTGTTCTATTAACAGATAACGGGCTGAGCTGGGCCGGATTCTGGTACCAGACCCGATTCTGCTGGTCCGTTTGGGACGGAAACATCTGAGATCATGTTGTCATTAATAATCATCAGTTCTGCAGAATGAGCTGAAGATGAAGAATAACAAACCCTGAAGCCAGGCTGCGTGATTGGCCGGGCCTCGCACCGATTGGCCGGGCCTCGCACCGATTGGCCGGGCCTCGCACCGATTGGCCGGGCCTCGCACCGATTGGCCGGGCCTCGCTGCGGATGGCCTATTGAGCGTCAGCATTGAATCTGAGTCAGAGTTGACGGTGTTGCCTTCAGATTCTCAGACAGCGTGGGAACTCTGAGTTTTTCTGGATGTAAATGTGTCTGAAACATCAGAGCCAGAACCTAAATGTATCTGTTGGGTTCTGCTGTGATCTCAGCTGCAGCTTCCTGCTGCGTTTCCTCCCAGCAGGGGGTCAGAGGTCGAGCAGCTGCAGTGTGTTGATGCTGTGTCTCCTCCCCCAGTGGGTCCCCTCAGGGTGGAGTTCAACATCCCAGTGAGCCTAGAACAAATCAAGAGGGACAACCCCAACATCCTTCCCGGCGGCCGGTTCCGACCCAAGGACTGTGTGGCGCTGCAGAAGGTCGCCGTCATCATCCCGTTCCGCAAGCGAGACGAACACCTCAAGTTCTGGCTCTACTACCTTCACCCGGTTCTGCAGAGGCAGCAGCTCGACTACGGAGTCTACGTCATCAACCAGGTGGGTCCAACAGAGCCAAACAGAACCTCTGACTGGATTAGATCAAGATTAAACCTGGATTTACCTGCAGAGAGGTGAAAATGTATCAGCCTGATAAAATCAGCCAGAGTGGGATCTCACCTGATCCAGGAGTTTTCAGAGGAATCCACACACAGCAGGGCAGGGGCGGGGCTTGTATCCAGGTAACAGTGAGATCACCTGCCTTGAGCGTTCAAAGAGCCGTTAGTGACTCTGAGCTGCATGTTTTCCTCCAGGTAAAGGAGCAGCTGCTCTGCTGTGGGCGGGGCTTGTCCACAGGGTGAGCTGGGTTATTCAGCAACTCTGTAGAGCTCAGGACTCTGCATGCATCGTGATCACTCAGTCTGAAGCAGAAATGAAACAGTAACCATGGTAACCAGGTGTTCACTCTGCTGCTGCTGCTTTGACTCACTGTGTTCTTCTGCTGCTTCCTCTCCTTCATCCTCCTCAGTTTTAGCTCCTCCCCTTCACCTGCCCCTCCCCTCTCTTTGCATGTCAGGCCTTTCTGACCAGTGGTTGTGGAGCTGCTGAGACCCGCCTCTTCTTGGTCTTGGCCAATAGCAGCGGGTGTTGCTAAGTGGTCGCTTACGGTAATTCAGCTTTCTTCTTCTTCTTCTTCTCCGGTTTCTGTCTGCTGCCTGTTTCTGTTTCTGCCACCTGAGCTCACCTGGCAGGTAAACGACGAACTGAGCAGGTTCAGGTCTGACTGGTTACCTGTCCAGGTGAGACAGTGGGAGCTTTGTATTAACCCTTTTTCATCTGCTAACAGGAAGTGGTCATGTGACATCACAGGAAGTTGATGTTTTTAAATGTTCAGTCTGAAGGCTTTACAAACATGTTGCTGCATGACACAGCTGAGGGGTTGCCACGGTAACCCAGTTAACTGACATCAGAAAGCATCAGTAGCTCAACATGTAGAACCCGGTCAGGACCTGTTCTGCCACCAGGAACATGCAGAACCAGAACCAGTTTCCCTTCATTCATCCCAACCAACAAGACTCTTCCATGGACACGCCCCCTCCCCCACGCGGACACGCCCCCTGGTCAATTGGACATAAATCCTTCAGGCAGACATGTTGAAACATTGCTAACGAGCGTTGGATGTGCTGTGGAGTGGAACCGTTTGGGGGTGGGGTCTCTGTGGGAGGGGCAGGTTTATTCAGAATACATTAGAAAAACAAATTTAACTTTAATTTAAAAAGCCTGGATGTCAAACATTTGAAGGAAACAGATTTAAAGTCTTGATCAGTTGGAACCTTTGACCT